TAAACTTATGCTACGCAAAACCTAATTGGGACAATATTGTGACAAACATTATTGCACCTACCCTACTAGTTAGATATCTGCCTAGCCCAATCCACCTACCAGGATTAACTAACGTGTCCACCCAACCAAATTTGACCGTTATAAACTTTCCCAAAAATAAAAAAAATTGACCGTCTTGGTGGTTAAGTGTGTCAGACTTCTAATTGATTAACAATGTACATCAATTTCTCAGCAAAATAATCACACATGGAGAAAAAACATACAACCAAGTGCATTAAAATGATCACATCGATCGAATATGGTGCATCAATCTACACAAATACAAATAGAGACGCTCAATGCTGAGAATGAATCAAAGTTTTAAGAAATTATAGTCATAATAACATGTTAAACCATTAATTGCTCTGAGAAATTATAATCCTCAGTAATGATGGATTTAAGTTTAGGTCGTCCTCTTGAAATCCAAAACATCCAACAAATCCCTTTTAAAGAGAAACCTTAATGGCCTACTTGCAGAGCGCTCGCTTCATCACGAAAATGGGCCACAGCCTAGGAACATGAAGTTCAGGATAGTCCAACTCAGTAGGTATCAACTCGGTCATATCAAACACGGTGGTATGTACCTACTTGATAATAAGGAACTTGGTACAAGATGGACCTCAAGTAGCCCCGAATCACTCCACGTACATTCCCCTTGGAGACCGCAAGGGGATATGGAGCAGATCTGGGAGCTTCTTGGCAGACTAAAGTATCAGTTAAGGCATTTATACAGGGAGGCAAATGTGATTGCTGATTTTTTGGCCTCTTTTACTAGTTCAGACTGGAACATATTCTGAATTCTCAACACATAGCAGTCTGCCTATGTTTGGCAGACAGCTTTTGCATCAGGATCAGTTTGGGCTACCTATGGCAACGAGGAGGAAAGTTGTGGTTTGTAACCAAAGGCAAGGGGTTGGATGATTATGGGTGATAATCGAGCCAAGCTCGACCAGCATCACCATGCTCAGGCTCGGCTTGACATTTTAGGAAGATGTTCAAGCTTGGCTTGAGCTCAAACATCAATTTTTTTTTTAGCTTGAGCTCGGGTTGACTAAAAAATGAAAAGTTCAAGTTCGGCTTGATTAGGCTTGTTTTATGTTATCAAGCTCATATAAAGCTTGACCAAAGAAANAAATGGTCCGGTTCTTTAGTTAGACCGCCTAAGAAATTGAACCATTGGATAACCAAAAAACCGGCTGGTTTTGACCAAAACCCGTGAACCGAAATTTCCTAAAATCATCCGGTTCAAATCTTGAAACCAGTCGGCAGCCTTCATCTTCTTTGTCTTCCTTCAAGACGAACAACGGCGAAAACCACACTTCGTCTTCTTCGTTTCGAACAGTGGCGAACACCGTAGATCTAGATCGAAACACCACAGATCTAGATCTCCTAAGTTGTGTTAGATTTCTTCTTCTAGTCCTCTCTTTCTCTCTCCACACTGACAACCCACAAAAATGAAGGAAAAATTGTTGGTTTGTTGGGTCCTTTTTCTCTTTCTCACTTGCTGGGTCTTTTTTCTCTCTCTCACACATGCTTGCTGGGTCTTTCTTTCTCTCTCTCTTTCTACACACACCCAATTTTTTTGAACAATCATATGGTGTATATGAATAATTGAATATAAGTTAAGTAGTTAATAGCTAATACACAGACATTCAACAATCATTATATTTTATAATTTTTTATAAGTTAAATATGAGTAATTGAATATAAGTTAAATAGTTAAATAGTTAATAGTAAAATTATTATATTTTATATTTTTTTTATTATACGATCGGTCTGACTAGTCAACTCAACGGTTGAACCAGTGAACCATTGAGCTAGTCCCTTTGTCGGTTTGATGTCCGGTCCTGTTTTGATAACATTGGTGTGAGCTGTGTAGATGGAGTAGGCAACAATGGAGACTGTGTAGTGGGGGTAGCAAACACTAATCGAGAAGAAGTGATCACATGAGCCACCTTAAATCGAGTCTCTTTGTTAAGAAGTTCCTAAATAACTCCATTAATTATAGGCAGTGGGGTGCAATGGAAAATAGCACCACGAAGAGGCTCAAATTGGTCTCTAAGAGCCATAAGAAATTGGAGCCGCCTTTGTTTCTCCCTGAGTGCATATATCTATCTAGTGCTTTTAAGTTTGATGGTTCCATGAGTGCCAACTGATCCCAATAAGTAGTCATTTGATTGTAAAATTCCTGAATAGACTTATCTCTTTGTGTTGCACCTCTAATTTCCATCTCTAATTGATATTGCTTTGCAAAATTAGATTCCAGATACCTTCTGAATAATTTCATACTTTCTCTGTAGTGTCAAATTTCGAACAATCCATACCAATATTAAGTTCCACATAATTATGTAGCCAAGTAAGAACTTGAGTGTTCTCCATCTACCATTTAGCAACAGTTTTGTGAGAATTCGTTGCTTTAGAATCAAAGGGTGTTATTTTAGAACCCGAAACATAACCCCATTTTCCTTGACTGAGCAAATTTTTTTTCATCACATTAGACCAATATGAGTATTTTTCTCCATTCAAACAAAATTGTTTGAATCTTATCTTTTGAAATGAACATAATTTATTGGCAAAATATCGCCTATTAACAAACGAACAGTAATGGTGAGCAATATCTATGAATAGTACCGAGAAACAGTGCTGATGAACATGACCCAACGAACATTGCTGTTGAACAGTATTTGTGAGAGGAGTGCGATGGTGGATGTGATTTTAGGGATTACGATTTGATAGGAGAGGAGGCTCTGATACCATGAAAGTTTTATTGGGTGCAAATAATACTTCCTTAGCCGTCAATAAACTAAATTACAAGGATATATATAGCCCAAGAAAGTTAGAAAAATCCTAGACTATCCAAAAGACAAATATACTCCTATTATAAAAACTTATATACACTCTCACACTGATAATTGTGGTGCTGGAAGTGGGAGTGGGAGTGGTGGATTGGGTACATACCTAATCTTTTGCATCATTTACATAAAGTGGCGTCACTAAGATCCAAACCTACAACCTCATAGTTGCTAATTCGATACAGTTATCCTTGGACTAGACAATAACCTCATAAGAGACGTAAGACTAATGATTTGTTTTAGAAAAGGAGAAACAATTATGCTCCTCTTCTATAGTGTGTATATATTGTTTGGGCATCACTATTTTCTTGGGATGTGATGTTTGTAAGTGTTTTTAGGGGTATCGAAAAGAGCAAGGCCCGTTCTCTATGAAGATGAGTGGTGTTGACAACCTTTTGGATGTTATGGCAAGAAAAGATTGCTAGAATATTTGAAGATAAGGTGAAGGATACGGTTGGTTTGTGGGAAATTATTTGTTTTTTGACATCTATTTCTGTGTATCTTGATTTTGTGGAAATTCTTTTTGTTCATGATTTGGGCAAATCGAAAGTCTGTATGGAATATGTTATTTTGTATATTTTTTTCTGTCTTTTCTTCTCATCCCTGACATACTTTTTTTTGCTGTTATAAATATAAAATTCTTTTATTGCTTAGAAAAAAAGAAAGCTTGTGTTATTGGCTGCTTTCTCTCATTTCTTCTAAAACTCTAGATACAGAGTTTTTGACCTTCGAGTATGAGCAATGTTGAAGACCTAGGTTAACTTGATTCCATTGACCCCGGGATCCTATCTAGTGCTCATGTCCATCAAGTTTGAAAATTTACAAAATACCCTCAACTCCTGAACACTTAATGAAACATGAAAGGGAGCAACATTTTAACTTAAAGTTGGTCTAAGCCAAGACTTGAGAACTGGAGGTCTCATCATGATTCGTATTCTATGTTAGCATATGATTATCAATTCTTTAATTAGAGAATAATAATACGCACCCGGCTTTAAGCATTCTGGGAACATCTCTGACCATGACTCAAATTTTTACTCAAATTTAAATTAACATTTGAGTAAAAAGCTTGATTTGATATAAAAGACTCCAATAGACAAACTCAAATTTAAAAAAGAAGAGACCCATATTTAAATGAGGGTAAATTCAAATTTAAAAGGGAGTAAGGATGACCATTGGATTTTTAAAAAATGGTGCAATCTCATCAATAAAGATTTGAGTCTCCCTTAATTTGAGTAAAAAAATGAATTTTCATTGATTTGGTATAAATTTGAGTCAAGGGTTGGAGTAAGGTTTTTAGATTTTTTTACTTAAATTTAAATTTGAGCAAGGGTTGGAGATGCCCTAAATGCTATAAACTTTAATTTTGATATTTTGTAGTTGCATTTTAACAATTTCGGTTTAGTATTTAGCCTTCATTTTACATTCAAATGTGATGGTTTTGTTTGCTAATATTTTTTTGTGCATGTGCCAATGTCTGTTTTCTTGTTGCATCAACAGAATCTTGGCTATCTTAACAAAGATCAATGTATTCGTCTATTTGAGGAACTAAATAATTACAGGTATGTATGTCCAAGATATTTTTATTCTTTTGTTTTTGTTAACTTTTTGGCATAAAGTTGTTCAAAATTTGATGGAATTAGTTAAGAAGTAAGAACAATGTAAAGTGTTAAGTTTAGAGGATTAACACAATATTAGAGAGAAACAGAGAGAGGTTAAAAACTTAACTTAGTTCTCATACATCACTTGTTTTTATAGTTAACTCATAATAATAAGAATTATACATAATACCCTAACATTATTAACAATTTACACATATTACCCTAATACTCTTAATACTCCCCCTCAAGTTGGACTATATATATCATATAATCTAAGTTTGAAACAAATAGCTGTAAGACGTGTGCGAATCAATGCTTTGGTAAACATATTTGCAAACTGATCTTTAGATTTCACAAATGGAGTCATAATCTCCCCAGCTACTATCTTGTCCCGAATAGAGTGACAATCAATCTCAATATGCTTGGTTCTTTCGTGAATTACATGATTGACAACGATATAGATAGCTGCCTAGTTGTAACAGAACAACTGTAAAGGAAGTTGAGATGGAAACTCAATTTCTTGGAGGAAACGTAGTAGCCAAGTCAACTTACTCGTCGTATGTGCCATTGCCCTATACTCAGCCTCAGTACTGGATCTTGCTACCACGAGTTGTTTCTTACTTTTCCATGAGAGAACATTACCTCCTAAGAAAGTACAATAACCAGTGGTTAATCTCCGATCAGAAGGAGAGCTAGTCCAATCAGCATCTGAGAAACCTTCCACTCAAAGATGTCCATTAGCTCGATATAACAGTCCAAGTCCAGGAGCTCGTTTGAGATATCGCAGAATACGAGTAATTGCCTCCCAATGTGGTACTATAGGATACTCCATGAACTGACTTACTATACTGACTGCATAAGAAATATCTGGTTGAGTAATAGTAAGATAATTAAGCTTTCCAACCAATCTGCGATACTGATCCGGATTCTCAAATAATGCACCATCATCCATCAATAATTTCTGATTCGGATCCATAAGAACATCAATCGGTTTACCACCCAGCAAACTTGCTTCCTCAAGCATGTTAAGTACATATTTCCTCTGGGATAAACAAATACTCTGTTTAGATCGAGCTACCTCAATACCCAAGAAATACCTGAGTTTTTCCAAATCCTTAGTATGAAATCGATCTCGTAAGAATATTTTTAACTTGACAATCCCCTCAGAATCATTCCCAGTAATCACAATATCATCTACATAGACCACCAATAGGACATATCCAACATTTGTTTGTCTATGAAACACAGAATGATCTATCTGGCATCGAAGAAGACCAAACTCTAAAAATGCATCTGAAAACTTATCGAACTATGCCCTAGGTGATTGCTTCAAACCATACAAAG